AAATCTCTGCAAACGGACACTTCAAAGTTAACCTAATGTTTCCTTATTGACTGATTACACAATGAAGTCGCCTAGAGTTCTAGCGAGAAGTCTTGACCATTGGAGTGCCCACAAAGTTGGATCTGAGGACAAGTAATGCCTGATGACAATGGCTATCAGTGGCTTCATACATTGCGTATTAGCAGCAGTAAGAAATAGTCGTCCGACGACTGGTTCAATCGGCAACCGGCTAGTATCATAATCTAAAGATCCTGGGCTCAATTCTTGATGGTGGTGATGGGTTCATACTGTGAAGAATACCAAACTGGGACGAAACAGCTAGCAAAACTCTTTGTTTTCAATGATTCTCTAACTGATGTTTGTTCGTGACGAAATCTACATTGTAACTCAAGCTACTCTTATTAGTCAGTAGTATATATCGTGTGATAAAAGAAATCGAGCAACGCTTAGCAGGGTATGTCTGTATCAATATATGGAAAGACATGAAGTGTTGAAGCATTTCAAGGCTTCATTCACCACCATAATCTTAGGGATGAAACCAAGACAGTGTGGAAATCCCCACCTCACACAACAAAGAACAACATCCGAATCTTCAAACACCAATGTCAAATCAATGGTTCACAGACTTGGTGTACATGTTATCAAAAGCATTCAGAACAGGCTACTGCAGAATTTCGTCAACGCCTGTGCACTTCAGTGACTTGATACTGAAGAGTTGATGGCCGGTCAGTTAGGATAAGCAACAAGGCAACGAATTAACCAAGAACTCATTACTTAACAGATCAAGTGGCGATATGTTTGTTAACAATAATTAATGAGTCATGTCAACATGTCAATGGGGTTGGGTGATAATTAACGAAGATAATTAATACACACAATTAAAAGGTAGAAATGGTTACAACACGTGGATTATTATTATTATTATTGTATCCTTTAATTCCTACAGGAACATAGGGATTCAGCCACACACGTCTACATTGCGTTCGGTTCTCTGATAGAGTCTTCACCTGGCTCCACGTCTGCCCACACCTTTTCATGTCCTCTTCACATGACCTCCTCCAAGTCACCCTTGCACTGACGACCAACTCGCCGCTTCCCTTTCGGCGGTGTTCCACTCGAGCAATGGCTTGTCTAGTGACGTCACTTGATGGTTTCCTCAGAGTATGGCCAGCCAATCCATCTCCATTACTCCCTGCCTATTTCTTTCACAATCGGTTCCTGCTGGATCGCTCATTGCCAGAGATCTCTGTTGCTGATCATTTCTGGCCAGCCATTTGATCTTGAGGATCGAGCGAAGAGAGCTGTTAATGAAGGTCTGTAGTTTGTTTGAGATGCTCCTTATGACGCGCCAAGTCTCTGATCAATATAGTAAGTATCACTGACTTCACATTGGAGTTGAAAATCCGGATCTTATTTTTGATGCTGAGTTGTTGTTGACCTCCACACAGACTTGAGAGTATTGAAAGCTTGTCTTGCTTTTCCGATCCTTGCTTTGATATCCTCGTCAGTTCCGCGCACCTGTAGTTGAAACGATGCTTCCCAGGTGGGTAAGTGAAGGAGGTTGTTTCTTTCAGGTTCCTCCCATTTATGCTGATTGTTGTCTGTTGTTGTTGTTCTTGTCCAGGAATCTTCATCACCTCTGTTTTCTCTATGTTCACCTGAAGTGAATGCCTGTCTTTGATGCTTCTTCTGCCAACTTGTTGCTTTTCGCTTGCATATCTTCTAGTTTGTGTGAAATCAGACGTATATATGTTATTGACGAAGTCCAGATCCTCCAAGTTTTTGTGTGAGTTCATTTTATGCCTGTTTCCTCATTGCCCACTGTTTATCTGTCGCATTATCCAGCCTCCTGCAATCAGGAAAATCATTGGCGATAGTAGGCAGCCAGCCTTGTCTTACTCCTGTTCTCACTTCGAAGGATTACGTAAGTTTCCCGTTGTGGATTACTTGGCATGCAGCATTGTCGTACATCAGTTGGATGAGATGTATAATTGCCAGTGGCATCCCGTAGTAGCGAAGTAATTTCCAAATCACCTCTCGATCGACGCTGCGCTGTCAAAGGCCTTTCCAAAGTCGATGAAGTTGAGATAGAGAGGTGACTGCCATTCCAGGCTTTGTTCAATGATGATCCGTAATGTGGTGATCTGATCAATGCATGGATTGCATAATGCATAATTTTCGAAAAAGTGAAGAGTAATCAAGGAATAAGCGTGTGCACAGGTTGATCACGTAACAGATGGTTAAAGAAAATAAAACGATTTGGACAATGATAACTTGTAACTAAGGTTGAAGTGGTCATAAGAATAAAATAATTTTACAAGGATAACATGTAATTCAAGATGAAGTAGTCAGAAAACATCATTCAGCATGGTTAAGCAGGGGAAAAACAAGATCTATTCATAACTCTATTGTAGCACACCTTGTTGATAGTGAGCATAAGGTTGACGTTAATACTGCATTTAAAATTATTTATCGCATTCCGACTAATCTTAATTTTGCTCTACGAGTTCGTCTTCTACATACAGCTGAAACAATAGGAATCCACCTGAAGAAGCCAAACCTATGTGTTCAGAAGAAATTTGTACAGCCACTTTCCTTACCTTGGCCATCGTTACATGAATGTATAAATCGGACTACTTTGGACCCCCTCACCCTAAACCTTTAAAATTATAAAAATTATAATTGTCCAAATTATTTTATTTTTTCTAACCACTTCATCTTTAATTACGTGTTATTCTTGTAAAATTAATTTATTCTAACCATTTCTACCTTTTAAATGTGTATTGATTTTCTTCGTTAATTATCAACCCATTGACATTTTGACACTGACTAATTATTGTTAACAAACATATCAGTGCCAATTGATTGGTAAACTGTAATAATAAAAATGTTCTACGTGTATATTAGAGTAGGGCCAGAGAGAGATGAGGATCTAATTGAAAAGTAAATATTTCTTCGCTCAATCCTTCTGTTTTCTAAATGTCTAAATGGAGATATACAGTAGTTGGATTCAACATACACTGAGGAAACATTCAAGTTACATCGGACACCAGGTAGGCCATTCAGTGGAACTCAATTGGGAAACGATGAGTTGGGCGTCAATTTGAGTGTGACGTAGAGGAGGTCGTCTGAAGTGGAAATGAAAGCTTGTGGGTAGTAAGTTGTGAAGCTGTCCCCTGTAGTAACACAAGGAATTAGCGATAATATTAACTTGGGGTCGTAAAGAACACACTATTTCCAGCAGACGCATAGACAAAACAGGAGTTTAATTATTCTGAAAAAGGACTATACCATCCTGAGAAGGATGTTGAAGGTAGTTAGTAGGACTAGTGGTGTAAAACTCAGTCAGCTCGTCACTACATTAGTTGAAAGGCATCTGAATACATGCGAAAAATGGTCTAAAACCATACTCTCCGACCCCCAACACCCCCTCTATTCCCAACTCTCGCCTTGTATCTCATCAAGTAAAACCAGAAATCAGTATAAAATAATCTATGCTCGTACAACCAAGTACAGGAACTCAACGATACCATACTTGGCCCGTGTTCTAAGTGACAGAGACAATGTTAAGCGCGAAACCTATGACTTGCTTTGTTGTTAACAACATAATTTTAGGCTCTTTTATTTCTCTCTTATTTTGTATTCTATAGTGAACTCCTTCTTAAACATACTTAGCTACCTAAATTATTAACATTGGCTTACTTTTTTGTACTTTACTCTATTCCTTCTTTTGTGTATCTACTGGTTCCGACTATATTAGCACTATGAGTATTACAAAATTGTCCTGTCATTAACCATCATGTAATTATTAGTTTTTGTGGTTTTTTTAAAATTTTTTCTGCAAAATTAACTGACAATCATTGGTTGTGTACGCCATTATCACCATCTTAAAATTTTGTATTATGCAGGATTACTTACACTTCCACCACAAACACTGCATTAGACCTGATAAAAAAATCCCTGAAATGTTATTTTATGATTGTTTAGTGTTGTTTCAACCTAAATTAACTGATCATCTTGGCGATAAACATTCTTAAATATCATTTCATAACTTCTTGTATGACTATAGCTTTACTGTCACCATGCATAATCATATCATAGCTTCCACTACCCAATACTGAGATATTATTATATGCTGTTTATTTTCCTTTCTACTTCTTGGTATTTTTTTCTCGTTTTTTTATTATTTTTGTGTTTTTCTCTTTTGTTTCTGTTGTTGTCTTTATTTTTTTGAAATACTCCTTTTAAATGTTTGATAAAATTAGATGCAAATATTGTAGATATGTGATGAAAATTCCACACTGTACCACTAGTACTGTTTCTGGAATAAAGCAAATTATTATTATTATTCTCCTCTACTAATGCCTTCATTGGACCCAACAATTTCTTCTTATTCTTTCTAGAGTAATAAATCACCAATTAATTAAAAGCCATTTCACTACTCTCAAGTCTGTGTGGAGGTCAACAGCACTACTCAGCATGAAAAACAAGATCCGGATTTTCAACTCCAATGTGAAGTCAGTGCTACTTACTATACGGATCAGAGACTTGGCCAGCGCGTCACGAAGAGCACTTCGAACAAACTACACACCTTCATCAACAGCTGTCTTCGCTCAATACTACTCAAGATCAGATGGCCAGAAAAGATCAGCAATACTGAGGGATCTCTGGGAGCGAACCGACTGTGCAACAAATATGCAGGAAGAAATGGAGGTAGGTGGATTGGCCATACTCTGAGAAAACAAACCATCAAGTGACATCACACGACAGGCCATCGCTCGAGTGGAACCCGAATGGGATGCGGCGAGTTGGTCGTCAGTGTGACGGTGACATGGAGGAGGATGAGGAGGTGATGTAAAGAGGAGATGAAAGCATGTGGGCAGACGTGGAGTCAGGTGAAAACGTTGGCAGAGAACCGAACGCAATGGATGGAGACGTGCGCGGCTGAAACCCTATGTTCCTCTAGGAACTAAAGGAAACAATAATAATAATAATTAAAAGCCAAGGTATTATCCTGTTTCTTTTCATTTAAACAAACCAATAACAAACAGTTTTTTTCTTCTTCAATATCTAAGTTAAGAAAGTTCTATGCTGTGGAGTGGAATAAATTTTCATTTCTCCAACACGATTTTATGCATCGCACATTTTAACAATCTAAAATACAAAAAAAAAAAATAAAACAGAACGATAAATGAATCAATAATGTAGCAAAATCATGGGGACTGGCGAGTAATACTGTTGACTTTGAATTGCAACACTCTGTCTCCATGTCATATCATGTTTTAGAAAATTTGGTTAGTTAGTTGTTGGAGTTAATTTGTATTTCCCTCATTGTAAGATCAGTTCAATTCCCATCCTTAAATCAAGTCAACCTGTCCCGGATCAGCTTAGCATTGTTGCAACCCAATTATCCATGCCTAACGTGTCTATCCCCCTTGTTTGATGAACTGTGTGTGTGTTTTTACTTCGATCCGTTTAGTCAGACAGTTGAACTCATGACCCAATCAGAGTATTTTTGTGAACTGTTATTTTGCTGACCCATGTCTTACTTTGTATTATTCTGTCGAGTTTATCTTATTTATTGATTGGTTAAGTAGCCAATTAAATTCTAGGTCTTGCAGATAGAATACGTAGACTTACAACAACGCCAGAGGACCAATGTAAAGAAATAAATGTCCTATTCAAAATGCTACTCGAAAACAACTACCCAAAAGAATTTATAAACGATAATATAAAAAAGAGAAAAAAGAGGGTAAAACCGGAGAATAACAAGATGGAAGAATGCAAAAAGACAGTCACAATACCATATAAAAATGGTACATCAGAGGCAATTCAAAGAAACCTCAAATATATCGGCATTCACACAACTTTCAAACCGACAAATCTAATCAAAAATAAAATAAATCAACTGAAAGATCCCATAAAAATGATGGATAAAAACAACTTGATTTACAAAATATCTTGTGCTGACTGTCCGACTAAATATATGTGGGGCAAACGTTCAGATCACTCAAAATAAGAGTGAATGAACATAAACGCCTAACCAAAGGTCAACCAACAGGAACACAAGCTTACAAAAATCTTGAAAAAAATTCATCGATAGCTGCACATGCATGGGACAAAAACCACAATATCGATTGGAACAATGTGTGTATTCTAAAAACTAACATGAACAAATGGAAAGAAAGACTTATAACAGAATCGATATTCATTAAAGTCACACCGGATACATGTAACAAGGGTGACTCAGTACAACTATCAACAACTTGGAATATAATTCTGAATACAAACACATGAATGAACAAAAATAATGAACTATATATATGAGTACAAATCATAAATGTGTGAATAAAACAATTCCAACAGTGGTGTGAACACGGGCAGTAATTTTGCTCGAAATATTACCAATAACAAAACTTATCATTGTGTGTAAACTATTGAAATATAATTATACTTTATTTGATCTAATCCACAATGCTCAAACTTTTTACTGATATTAATTCTATCTTTGTGCCTATGCTTTGTCTATCTATTACTTGGGTTCATTCTTCTACTGACTGCTTACCTGAACGGTCGTGTCTGATCCGGCTAGTTCGTAATTTTGGCTTTAACGTTATTCCGCTCTGATAGCGGTACCTTGCTTTCTGTTAAGCGTTGTGCTTTGTACTCTTGAAACCGTTAAGTACTGTAAGCGCAATATCGCTTGAAATTAAGTTACGCGTAGAAACAGTGACCGGCTTCTTGTTTGTTCTGGACCGGGATAGCCTTTATCTACGCGTGACTTAATTTCAAGCGATATTGCGCTTACATTCATTGTTTAATTTATATTGTAACGAAACACTCAGTCTCTGCTGACGTGTTGGGCTCCTAATGCGGACAATTCAGTGATGTCCGATGATCAGTTGGTGGAATCTAGCGGTGAAATCTAGTCTCTCATTGGACACACCGATACTCACTGAGGATCCAAGTACATTCAGATGACAGGCTCCAGCTTGGACAAAATACCCACTCTGGGTTCTACTTCTCGCCACCAACTATAAAACAAGCAGCTTCACAGTGAAGATTCTAAAGGGGATTCTAAAACGATGGACTAAAATTGTTTAGCATTCCCCAAACTTTAATGTTTTGATTTGGTTAGAGATGTTTCAACACCATATTTTTCTTTTCATAATCTCCAACTTCATGAAAGGGGTAAGGTATATTTAGGAGTTCTTTGGTGGATGATGACTAACAGTGGAAGCTAGGGTGTGCATTTTGCTCCTGTCTGGGACTCATCCTCTGGAAGTACCTGTAGTTCCAAGTGAGTGTTGATGTTCCGATTGAAAAGTGAACTCAGTAACTCCATTATGGGTAAATTTTGTTTTGATAAAGTCTCACAGTGTTATACAGTAATGTTTACTGATGACGTTTCGAGCACAATTTATTACTGCTCATAATCATATCAAGGTAATCACACGACTTCCTAAATTCATTTATATAATTCCATTGTTTTTCACTTGATTTGATTGGTAGTATTATTTTCCATATTTCGGGTATGAGTGATGATTCATTCCTATTGCATGTGTTGGGTGTAGATTCGATGAACAAGGATTCAGTAATCAACCTCTCTCGCTCCACCTACCTAGATTACTTTTTAGAATTTTAACCCTCTACCACCCTATTGTGTGGTTGTGTGTTAATGCATGCATTGCAATTGCTGAGCTTTTTTCTAAATTACTTATCTTCTCTGGGTCAACCATTCTTACCTTAGCTAAATTCTTATGTTCTGACAATCTGACTACCCCTGACCTACTAGTTTGACCTATGTAGTTGACCTCACTGACAGTCATTGCAGGGTATTTTGTAAATTATATTATTTTGTCTAATTGGGTCCACTGGGTCCTTTAACCTACAGAGCTTGTCCTTCCTGAGTGAGTTTGTAGGTTTAAATGCCACCCTAATTCCTGCTTTATTTAGAATCCTACGTAGGGTCTCAGATGTCCCCTCTTTATATGGTATAACTGTAGATGACTTATATTCTCTCTTATTTATGTTATTATTACTAGTTTCATAATTCTTTTTATTTTTCTTTTGGCGTTGTTCAATCTTCCTAATGAATTTTAGAGGATAGTTATTTAAAACCAACGTCATCAGTAAACATTACTGTAATCTGAATAACCCCTCTTATCGCTTGATGTTTAACTATGATTATAATCATAAATATTTTATCTATATTTTCTCTGTTGATCACCATGCTTCCAAAAATATCTTCCTACCTTTAAGCATGTACACTGTAAGATAAAAATACCTCTCCCGTTGAAACTGTGAACAAAATTGTGTACATACATCAAGAGTGAAGGTGAGAAGCACATTTTCTTCTCAGAGTTAACTGATAGTCCTCAATCATTTGACTGATGCAACAGTCAGTCCTTGTTTGACCAAGTAGAATAGTTAATGTTGAAAGACTGTGACGAAAATCGAAGTCATGCAACAGGATAAAGTTCACATCAGATATGATGGAGAAGATTTGTAGCTCTGGTGGATGATTTCGATGCAGTTGTGTTCTCTGAGCTGAATGGTTTATTTGCTAAGATTTCATTGCCCCACCAGGCAACATCTTCAGCGCATACTTCAATTTGAAGGAAGTGAGCTTTTAGATTTCTCCATGAGTTTATTGGTCATCTCTCCTTGTGGTGACCTAGAAAGTGATTGCTTGTTTTCGATACATTTGTAATAATCGAAAGAAATGATAATAAACAGCGTTTTCAACGACATCAAATTGAAAAGCGAAGAGGAATCCGAGAACAAAATCCCATTTTTCGGCATCTTAGTCAAGCGAACAACCACAGGAAAATTCGAAACTCAAGTTTATAGAAAATCAATTCACACAGACCAAATACTCAATTACAACAGCAACAATCCAATAGCACACAAAAGGAATTGTATACAAACACTATTCAAGAGGGCCAGGACTCATTGCAGCACTCCCACCTTAAGGAAAACTGAAGAAAAATATCTCATGGACGTCTTCCAAAAGAAGGGATATCCACGAAATTTCATCAAAAGACATATACCCCCAAGCCAACCCATCAAATCAAGGGCCCCCAAGGAAAGCATAAAATAATCACCCTACCATATATAAAAGACAACATCTCAGAAATCCCTGCAAGACTCTTCAAACCTTTAGGAAATGATGTTGCACACAAACCAACAAAATCACTTCACTCAGTGGCTCTTGTCAACCAAAGACTCAACAACGAAAGAAGATAAAACCAACATCATCTACAAAATAAGTTGCAACGACTGCGAAAAACACTACATTGGCCAAAGTGGACGTCCCCTTCGTCTTCGTATCCATGATCATAAGCTAGCCGTCAAAAGACATGACATCCACTCCCTCATATCACTCACTGCATACAGACAACCACGGACATCAATTCGACTGGGACAACCAACGTTCAAATATTAGACAGAGGAAACACCAAGAATGCTAGCCAGAGAATTTTTAGAAGCCCACCTGGTATTCCAGTGAATCGTCAATCAATAGACACATCGAGATAGACAAAATTTACCAACCGATAAGAAGGAAATCTCACACACAAAGGGTCAAAGTTCAAGTCAAGGAAACAATCAGCACCAATACCAATACTAGTAGCCTAGAGGGTGTGAAAACACACAAAAACAACCAATCACGTTCAAGGTGGTCACCAGGAGAGATGACTAATATGAACTCGTGGAGAAATCTAAAAGCTCACTTCCTTCAAATTGAAGTATGCGCTGACGATGTTGCCTAGTGTTGGGCAATGAAATCTTCGTAAATAAACCATCCAACTAGCTCAGAGAACACAACTACATCAAAAGTCCACATCAAATCAGAGACGATACGTAAATAGTTATACAACTCGTAGAACTTACCTTCTTGTCAATAAAATTAATATTGAAAATGTCACAAAGTTTAGTAATAGAAAATGTAACAAGATCAAATATCAAAGAACACAAATCTTCGCCATAATTTACCTTGCAAATAAGATGAGGCTCAACCACATGTTTGATGACATCCGTCACAGTCACATAGAGTTCGTCAAGAATTTTCGAACACTAAAAATATACAGATTTGAAAAAAATGTGTACAAAGATAAGATAAGGAAGGCATACATATCATTTACCAAAACATCTTAAACATTGTGTATCTTTATGTTTATACTGACTGGAGGATGACATTAAGTAGACCAAAGTAATCCGATTGATATTCAAGTGTTGGTTTGTAGGGATTTGATTGGTTTCAGGATTTTCATCATGAGCTGACATTAGTTTGAGAACCATTGGAATACTAGACAGCTGTTTCGTCCTAGTTTGGGACTCTTCAGTAATACGCACCCACCAGGTGCAGCAGGTCGGGCGTGAGGACAAATACTCACCGAAGACATTGGCGAGGGGTCGCGCTATGTCGTGAATTGGCAGAAGTTAGAATTCGCGGGCCATTTGATCGGGTCCCAGTGGCTTAATGGTCTGTGAGCTCGCCTTGTAACCAGAAGGTCCTGGGTTCGAATCCCGATGGGTGCGTACCGATGAAGAGTCACAAACTAGGACGAAACAGTTGTCCAGTATTCCCAGGTTTTCCAATGGTTCTCTAACTAATGTCAGCTCGTGATGAAAATCCTGTAATCCGATTGGGTTTCTCAAAAATCCCTATGGAGTCTTGTGAAAAAGCGAAGACGTTCAGCGAAGAGACTCTTCTCGACATCGAATTCATTCACATAACTGTACAATCGCATTTATATACAATGATTTTTATGTGTGTGTTGTGTGTGTGTACATGAGGTTTGTCAAGTTCAGATAATTAATCAGGTAATACAAGAATGATCTAATATAGAAACAAGGTCAATTAGACAGCAACTAAAGTGAGATTGAGTTAGTTAGTTAGTCAGTTAGTTAGATGACGTAATATAATTGACTAAAATGTTTCAACGTAGGTCAGGATAGCAATGGAGGTAATTACAGGTAGATAGAGACTAAGTAGAGGTGGGGTAGAGAATAATGCCATTTAAATTAGTACTAAAGTTGAGCAAATAAATTGGATGACGTAACATAAATGACTAGAAATTGACCGTTGGACAAGTTAGTAAGAGTGGCAATGAGGTGTCGAATTTAAATCGGGTGGGAGTAGAGAACAGGAAGGTTGAAAATGTAAAATATTATAATTGAAAAGACGAAATAATACTAATGAAGAGAAAATCTGATAAACCAAACTTACGATCTTACACCTACATCAGATGAAAGCCTACAACAATTCAAGGCATCAATCCTCGATTAACTTTTAGTGAGAAACAACCAATCAGAAGACTGTGTTTGTCTACTAACAATAATCTGTAATAGTGTACATGAAAATCTATAAATATGTGTTGATTTCCATAATAAACGATCTGTTGCCTGACTCTCGCCTTCTTTCATTACACGGACACCAAGCTACACCCCGAACAAACTTCAAAGTCGTCCACAGAATACGAAGTAGTCTTCCTAAAAGTGTACGAGATAATCTTCTTCAAACTGCAGAAGCAGTGGCAGTTCACTGGCTAAGTCCTGAACTCAACACCCGACGGGTAAATTCTATTTCTTTCTTTCTGCCTCTTTATTGGTATTATTTTGTCTTTACAATTGCAATATTGCAAAAATATTCATTCAGACATCTATAAAACACAAAATAATGGAGCAAAGAATATTCTTTTCGATAAATTCCTCTTCCGGCTCTACAGTTATATATATGTTTATATACACAGAATATTTTAAATTAGTAGTTAATAACAATATTAGCGTTTTTTTTAAATAATATCGATTTGTAAAGTATGATCAATGCTATTGCAGTTCATTAAAGATGCTTAAATTATAATAATAATAATAGTAAAGATATAGTAGTAAAAAGAATATCAACTAAAATTAGGGAAATTTCACAAAATTCTGGATTATTCAAACCTGGATGGCCAAGGTAATGATAATGACTGAACTAACTTCTTTTGGATGCATAAATTAGGCTTGTTAATATGGATCCCCACAGCCTCAGCAATATTTAGTAGTCGAGCTCTTAAAGCGTAATTGAGATTCGTAGGTATGCGGTAAATGACCCTGAAAGCATGATTAACGTCAATCTTGTGTTCTGTCTCCACAAGATGCGCCAGAATAGCGCTGCGAATAGATTTTGTTTGACCTTTACAATATTTTACATTTTCAACCTTCCTGTTCTCTACTCCCACCCGATTTAAATTCGACACCTCATTGCCACTCTTACTAACTTGTCCAACGGTCAATTTCTAGTCATTTATGTTACGTCATCCAATTTATTTGCTCAACTTTAGAACTAATTTAAATGGTATTATTCTCCACCCCACCTCTACTTAGTCTCTCTCTACCTGTAATTACCTCTATTGCTATCCTGACCTAAGTTGAAACATCTATAAAGTCAAAAGAAGCCTTCCAAAATCGACAAGCTTTCGTATACTTTGTATTGCTGAAGCCTTAGCGATTTGGATGGAAAAGCCTGAGTTATGCACACAGAAGAAACTTCTCCACCCCCTCCTACTACCGTGGGTTTAATTCCAAGTTTATTTGTCATCAACATTTTGTTATCAAATTTTTTTGCAATTTTCGTATAACAATTTTTAGTAACTAACCCATTCAATCTTTTCACCTATTATCTAGTTTATTTTCATAATTGTCTCCAAACTCCTTCACTAGCATCTAATCTTTCTAAACATGTCCTTATTACGTAACTCTACTCACATCTTACCAATCTTCACCCCACTTATTTACAACTTTGAGTATTAATCACACATTTTAACTTCTTCATTATTTTGATGATATAATCAACAACCCACACTAACTGTTATTTTGATTTTGACAAACCTAATGTACACACACACAAAATAATTGTATATATATTTGCGACTGTACAGCTAAGTGAATGAATTCGCCGAAAAGAGACTCTTCGCTGAAACATTTTAGTCAATTATATTATGTCATCTAAGTAACTGACTAACTAACTAACTCAATCTCACTTTAGTTGCTGTCTAGCTGACCTTGTTTCTATATTAGATCATTCTTGTATTACCTGATTAATTATCTGAACTTGACAAACCTCATGTACACACACACATACACACACATAAAAATCATTGTATATAAATTCGATTGTACAGTTATGTGAATGAATTCGATGTCGAGAAGCGTCTCTTCGCTGAGCGTCTTCTCTTTTTCATATGACTCAATGGGGATTTTTAAACTGTCAGTTTACCTTTGTCTGGACATTTTAGGACTGGATAAGTCAGGAAGTTTTGGTAACAGCGCAGTAGAACAGAATGAGTGGTTTCCTGTGTTCAAACCACAACACGTTCGGGTTTAGTTGCCACACCATCTCTAAATGCAGCTGTGACAACACGTCATCTGCTTGTTGGTTGCATTGCAAACGCGACTAATTCAGTACATTAAGGCTAAGGGCTAAACACATGATATTGATTGTTCTCTTGTGACTGTCAGATACATCTCCATTCGTATGTTTACATCACCTGACTTAGGCGTTTAATTTTATCTAAGAATTCGTCAATTGAATGCAACTGAATTCAATTTCGCTTGTAAAGTAAATAAAGAAACGAGACAAACACACTTACTTGTACCTCCAGTCTTACATAATCGCACACGTGCACAAATACAGCCTGAATTTCTTTCAGAAGTGCATCGGACAGTAGAATATTTTTGCTTTCTGTAACGCCCATCATGCAAACTGGACAAACTGTTAGGTGAACGAGAAAACAGGTAAGAGAGAGGAAACCAGGCTTGAACAAAGCAAGAAGAGTGCGGTGAGCAGGGTAAAATGATGTTATTATATTTCATTGATTCATGTCACCTGTATACAGTTTAATGTGAGTTGTGGGTCAGAATAGCTCAGTGGTAACGTCTCCAACTGAGCACTAGGGGATACGGGTTCGATATTAGTTTGTTTATTAGATGTATCACACAGTGAAACAGTATTATTTACTGTACTTAGAACACAGGATATAGATAGATTTTTTTCGAACACATTAACTCAAAGGTGGAGGCAATTCATTAATTCACTTATGAATTGGAAAGTCAGGTAGGGGAATTTCCAATGTTAGATTGCAGTGTAAAAAGGAAAGAAGATGGGAAGTTAAACACATACTAGTGTGTTTACAAGAAACCCACACACACATTCAAACAGATATTTGGACTTCTGATCATCCCAACCTATGTCAGTGAAAATAATATAGCACAAAAAATAAGTAGTACCAAGGAAAATCTAAGACAGGAAGTGAGGCATATGAGAGAAGCCCTGAAACATAATAATTACCCTGATAAATTAGTCAGAAAGTATGTAGGGAAATGTAAAAATAAAATAAATAATGATAGATGATAGTGATAATAATAATTTAATGACGACATGCATGTCAAATATGCGCAAGACAACACCAACAATAAGGAATCTAAATCATCAGTAGTAATTCCATACAAGGAAGGAACCTTGGAAACCTTACTCAGAATTCTTAACAAGGCAGGAATAAAAGTGGCTGGGATTCAAACCACCCACAAACTCAATTAGAAACAAGCTTTGTCGGTTAAAGGGTGGATCCTGTGGAGCCTTTAAAACAAAACAATTTAGTTTATCTAATACCTTGCCTGCAATGATTGTCAGGTCAAATACATAGGTCAAATTAGTAGAACAGGGGCAGTCAGTCAGACTAGCCGAGCATAAAAACCTAGCAAAATCTAGATTAGTTGACCTGAATAAGATAAGAAATCTAGAGAATAGTTCAGCAGTTATAGCACTCACTACATGCAATTACACACAACCATACAATAGGCTGGATGGGATAAGATGACAGTTTTAAAATCTAATGTCACAGGGTGGAGGGAGAGATTGATAACGGAAGTTCTGTTTATCGAATCAACTGCAAACACGTGTAATGAGAATGATTCAACACCTGTCCAGTCAGATATCTGGAAAATTCTACTACCCCAACGACGACAAATAGGAGAGAACAAAGAAAACTATAAAATTCAAGTTTCGAAGTCATGTGTGATTATAATTGATATGATTATGAACAATAAATTTTGTTCGAAAATTCATCAAGTAAATAATACTGTTTCACTGACTGTGTGATACATCTAATAAACAAACTAATATGGAATTACTTACTACCACAGTGCCCAAGTTTTACACATATATTGATACGGGTTCAAATCCCAGAAGAGATATGCGTTTCTTCAAGATTGCATATAGGCCTTGTTGACCGATAAGTACCAACAAGCACGAGACCCAGATCAAGCGGGGATTTCTGCCGATCGCTTCCAACTATCAAATATCAAGAATTCACAGTGCACAGTGACAGCAAGCCACCTAGCCTGGTGGCCGCATTACAAACCTGACTGACATAATTCAGTCTGTAGCGAATACAGAACTCGATAAATGACACTAGTTACTAACTTGTGTCCAATGAAAATATTGTAGATATCGATAGTAAACTTGAGGGGTATTAATATCACGTGACTGAGACTCAAATTCTCACTTCCTGGAGATGAAATTTCACCAGTTGCTTTAGGAAACCAAAATTATTTTGATCACCACAAATGGGCAAAGTTAAACTTTAAGCACCACTGACTACCAATCAGCGAACGACCTTCAACGGACCAATCACATGAAAGAGGGATTTTCGATAAAGGAAAACGTATATTTATGGGAAAAAAGCATAAAAACGGCATAAAACTGTTACATAGGGTATCTTTCTCTAACATGTAACAGAAACATCTCCCAGTTTAGCATAGGAGTGTCAATAGAAAAGTCACACCACATTCTGTACATATATTCATCCAAATGACTATACATGAGATCCTTTTGAGATCCATTTATAGCCCTAATCCTGTTTTTCAATCTTCCCCAAAATCCTTCTATAGAATTTGTGTGTGTCCTTGTAATAGGATCGACAAAATCACTAGAATGGTTCACTCTATGATGAATATATCCAAGAGATGACAGCGAGTTATAACCTCTCCATTTATCAGTATGTACTATGGATCCCTGTTTCACTAGTCTAATAATAATAGATATTAAAGTAGTTGACTTTCTGTCTGCTGTTCTCTCCACGAATCCCTTCCGCAGGGAGGTGTCATACAAACCGATCACTTAAACATTGTTGGCTCGCTCACGACTACGGTTGTATTTTTTCTTCAGTAGCACAGTTTCGTCCACGTGTACGATGATGCCTTCTCCGCCCAACAACGAAGTAATTCTCTCCATTTTCCATGATGCGATGTCTCTGCAGTGCTGGTACCACTGAACTGTTGACACGAGGCTATTTTCGGTTTCAGCAGCTGCACCTCTCACAGGCTGTTTTAAAACCCAGTAGTTACAAATATACAAAATCTGGGTTAAGGAGAGATGCGACCTAGCAAACAATGTTCCTACGAAATATTAAAATTATCAGCTTACCTTCTCTAATACTAACTCGTCTCAAACAAATTGCACAACGATGGACATATCCATCAAAATCGACCTGCTAAAGCTTTTTAAACTCATGACACCACCACATGAACAAATCCTCTCCTTCCTAAGCAACTCCAAATCCAGGCAATACTGCAGAACCTTATCCTCCTCGAACTGCAAGGGTAAGTTCGTTAGAGCGCGCATTTGAAATGAATCAAGCGCTATACAACCTTGAACTCACGTGCATGAACCTCATTGGATCATTCAAGGTAGTTCGCTGATTGGTAGTTAGTGGTGCTTAAAGTTTAACTTGGCCGACAAATGGTAATCAAGGAAGTAGGTATAACTGCATAAAAGTATGTACTACTGATTGATTTGACTGAGTAGTCGTATACCACTCACATTAACTGGTAATGTTTGCTAAACAGATGTAAGCGATTTAAACATCGGACAGTGGTTTCACTCGCTCGGCGTAGTTTGAACTAATTCAGCCATCTGAACAGAGTCGAACCGGCTGCATCGTTTATGCTGTTCTTCTCAGGCAAGTGAGACCATCATTGTTATTTGGACCAATTCCATCTGTTTAGCAAGCATTACTAGTTAGTTTCGAGGGGTACACAACTACTCGTTCTAACCAATCAGTAGTAGCCTGTAGTTTCAGGCGTATTTTCTGTTTTAAAAATTGTCTACTTGTGAGTAGTATATAAAATTCAACAAAATTTTAAGATCTTTAATAATGTACATTTAATGAACTTCGGTTAAAGATTCATACAATTCTTCCTATTAGTAAACTTGAACAAGGCATGAATAGCAAATTTGGTGGGATAATATGAGCTCATTTAGCATTATTTCACGGATTATTCTTAACTGCTCACAACTTAAACACTACTAAAAATATGATGTGTAAATCATACTACTTCATACACATATTTGAAAAGAGGAAGAACAAACGTAGATGGACCGATCGATTTTTGCGTTTTTTCAAGTATTGGTTTTGTAGGGATTTAGTTTGATTGGATGGAGGATTTCATCATGAGCTGACATCAGTTAGAGAACCACTGGAAAACCTGCGAGTATTAGATGGTTGGAGGCAATCAGCAGGAAGCCTTGGATAATAGACACATGGACTAGAACATTACACTAGTTACTGACTAGTGTGCAGTCAAGATAACCTGGGAGTACTGGACAGCTGCTTCGTCCTAGTTTGGGACTCTTCATCAGTACGCACCCACCACAGGGGTTCGAACCCAGGACCTTCTGGTTACAAGGCAAGCTCATAGACCATTAAGCCACTGGGACCCAATCCAATGGGCCATGAATTCTAACTTCTGCCAATTCACGACATAGCGCGACCATTTCGCAATGTCTTCTTCGATGAGTTACTGCCTCATCTTCAACCTGCTGTACCCTACTGGTCACGGCTTCTCACTAGAACCCCAGGTTAACTGCCTGAATAGGGCTAGTCACTAGTGACCATCAGATTAATTTTCAAGTATTGGTTTGGTAGAGATTTTGTTTAATTGCATGGAGGATTTCATCATGAACTGCGTTTTTTCCCTTTTGTTCCTACCAAATGGTGCTTGAATGAATGGTCTAAATGTCCATTTGTTGAATCATTCTTTTCGACGTCTAGTGGAATTCGGTTGGATCGAAGTAACAAGATTCATCACGAAATGCCTTCAGTTACACAACAACTGAATACCAGAAAGTACTGTTCAGATGACTCGCCCTTGTCTGGGACTCTTCAGTAGTACGCCGCTATCACTCAGTCAAGGATAAAAAAATCAAGAACCTCTAAGTTACAGCATGACCTTGTCGACCATTCAGCCACTGGGACGGGTTCCAGTGGCCCATGACTTCGTACTTCAGTCGATTTACCAAGTATATCACGACCGCCAGACACTGGCATACCCAGCTTGGTTGACCCCTGTGAATGTGACCTCGCACCAGGGCTTCAGGTAGTTTCATTCTGTTGTCAGCCACTTGCGAGCAGTGGCTTTTTTCTTTCTTCTTACATGACTTGCCTCACTCTGATGAAATAAACTTTGTGAAGTACGCTGATGATTTAACAGTTTCAATGGCTGTTAACTCCCAGCTAGATTGTACCAAAATAAATAGCTTTCTGTCGGGAGTCAGTAAATGGTCTGAGTCTAACGGTCTTAAACTGAATCCTTCTAAATGTCAAACTGTTAATTTCAGCTTAAGATGTAAAAGACAGTTAAAAGAAGCCGTCGATTCTCATGACAGTTGTAAGATTGATGACAATGATATAGGAATTAAATCAGAAATTAAGTATCTTGGACTTATTCTCTCTTCTGATCTCTCCTGGTCTTCCCATGTCTCAGCGATCTCCAGTAAAATATTCCGTTAATTAGGGCACTCGGGTATAACTCAACCCCTCCTCTTACAGTTCATAAACTCTTGCATCCTACCTATTCTTCTTTATTGTTCACCCCTCTTATTCTTTCCTGGTTTGCTTAAAAAGGACTATGTCACAATTCGTAGAATGCTGAAGACTGTCAGTAGGGTGAGTGGTGTCCCAGTGGACTACATAGTTAACGTCGTTGTCGATAGGCACTTGACTTCGTGCAATAAATTTGCTAAAGGGATTTTGTCTGACTTGGAGCATCCACTTCAGCCCCTCAGCTTTCACCTTGCATCTCCTCGGGTAGAACAAGAAGTAACTTCAGAAAACTGTATGCTCGCACATCTAAGTATAAAAATTCTATGATACCATACTTGGCACGTATTTTATGTGATGAAAATAGCGTCAGGCAAGAATTGACTAACCTTTTTTCATCTAGTAAATAAACAATCTCCTCCATCCATCTTTATATACCTTCAAGTTTTACTTTTATTATTTCTATTATATTTATGGTCCTGTTGATTCTTTGTTTTCACTTTCATAATTGCAAACACCAACTTATCTCTATGACTGCTGTAATCTTTGTTTTTCCCCTCACCATATCATGTAAAGAGAACATTATATTCAATATTTTTAAACATGCTAGGATTTCTATACCGCATCGACAATACTGTGTGAAACAAGCCCACGGCAATTTCCACTTGTATTATTATTATTACCTTAGCTGTTATCATTATTATATTATTTCCATTTTATATGCTGCATGTTTTTGACATTACCCCTATTGTAAATGTGGAAAATTTTCTGAGTGATTAATTTTTATTTATAATTTGAGGAAATTAGATGCAATATTGTGATTAATGCTGAAAATTCTATTCTGTATCACAAGTACTGTTTTTGGAATAAAGTAAATCATTATTATTATATTATTTTCAAGTGTTACCTGCAAGGATTTCGGTCCCCATAAGGTTACAGGTGCGCACTGACGAAGAACCTCAAGTAGGGATGAAACAGTTATCCCGTGCTTTTTCGTTTTCAGTGATTCTCTAACTGAAGACAGTTCGTGATCAATTTTTAAATCAATGAAATCCCTACAAACTTAAACTTGGAATTCAGCTTATATGAGATTGAGACATTGGTCAGAAACTTTCAAATTTAAATGAGTGAATAATCCCTTAATAATAAGTAAACTTCAATATATCAAACTGGGATGAATGATTGCGTTGGTGGCATAGCGGTTAGGACGCTCGCCAACCATCCACACGGTCCGGGGTTCGAACCCCGGCTGACGCACTCCCTTACCTCGCTAAGCCAGAAATAAAGCTGGTAAAGAGGAAAGGTTGGGCATGAGGCTAGCAACCCCATCCTGTAAAATAAACACTGCTACAGAAACTTCAAGCCACTAGCTTGAAGCCCTATGTTCCACTGGGGAACGTGAAGGGAAAAAAAAGATGAATGCAAAAGTATATGTGGAAGAGGAATCATCTGAATTAAAGTGGACATCTACAATCACTCAACTGTCATTCATTTATGAGTCAGAATTTGTTTTCTGATAGGCATATATAGTATACAGGATCTCATCATGATCTGCAATTGGTTAGAGGACCATTGGAAAAACTGGTAGTACTGGAAAGCTGTTCCATCAGCCTAGTTTGGGACTCTTTCTCAGGCTTCGAATCGAGAACGTTCCAGTTACAAGGTGAGCTCGTAGACCATTAAGCCATTGGGACCCCATCCAATGGCCAGACCATGAATTCCAACTCCTGGCAATTCACGATATCATCTGTGGCGAGTGTTTATCCTCCTCACCCGACCTAGTGTGCCCCAATGGTTGCAACTCCTAACTAGAACCTACGTGAATAGGGCCAGTCGCTAGTGAGCATCAGGCTGGTGGTTTACGAGCTCGATTTGTAACCGGAAGGTCCTGGGTTCGAAACCTGGCGGTGGGTGCGTCCTGTGAAGAGTCCAAGACTGGGACGAAACCGCTTTCCAGTGCTCTCCGGTGGTTTCCCAAATGTTCTCTAACCGATACCAGCTTATGATGAGATTCTTATAACCAATCAAATTCCTGCAAACGAATATCTGAATATAAACAGTATATGTATATACATACTTACAGTTTATTCTTGGTGGATTCGGGCACATTCCAGCAAGCTTTTAATAGACAGATAGACATACAAGAAAGAAAGTTATAAGAAAATGGCAATAAAAACACAAGTAAACTGTGTTATGGAAACCAAATTATTATTAAACAGAAAGCAACCAATCATTAAAGGCAGTAGAAACGAATCAAGAAAACAGAACAGTTTCTGAAGACTATTTAGGATAAATAAAAAAAGCAACCAAGAAACTCGACACTCTGTGATTAATTAGAATTAGGTAAAAGGTTTATATAAGCCGCATCATCCTGGAGAGAATCAAACACGCCACCCTGGATGAAAAACTTCGACCGGAACAGGCTGGATTCAGGAGAAACAAGTCATGCATTGATCAGATCGCCACATTACGGATCATCATTGAACAAAGCTTGGAATGGCAGTCACCTCTCCACCTCGCTCAACTTCATTGACTTTGAAAAGGCCTTCGACAGCGTCGATCGAGAGGTGATTTGGCAACTACTTCGCTACCATGGTGTGCCACCGACAATTATACATCTCATCCAACAGCTGTACGACAATGCTGCATGCCAAGTAATCCACAACGGGAAACTCACGGAATCCTTCGAAGTGAGGACAGGAGTAAGACAAGGCTGCCTACTATCGCCAATGATTTTCCTGATTGCAGTAGACTGGATAATGCGACAAACAGCGGGCAATGAGGAAACAGGCATAAAATGGACTCACACAAAAAACTTGGAGGATCTGGACTTCGCCGATGACATATATATATGTCTGATTTCCCACAAACTGGAAGATATGCAAGTGAAAAGCAACAAGTTGGCAGAAGAAGCATCAAGGATAGGACTTCAGGTGAACATAGAGAAAACAGAGGTGATGAAGATTCCTGGCCAAAACCACCACCATCAACAACAACAGACAACAATCAGTATAAATGGGAGAAATCTGAAAGAAGCAACCTCTTTTACCTACCTACCTGGAAGCATCGTTTCAACTACAGGTGCACGGAACTGACGAGGATATCAAAGCGAGGATCGGGAAAGCAAGGCAGGCTTTCATTTCTCTCAAGTCTGTGTGGAGATCAACAGCACTCAGCACGAAAAATAAGATCAGATGGCCGGCCAGAAAAGATCAGCAACAGACAGGGATCTCTGGCAATGAATGAACCAACCCAGCAGGAATCAAGTTTGCAACAAATATGCAGGAAGAAATGGAGGTAGGCGGATTGGGGGCCATACTGTGAGAAAACAAACCATCAGGTGAAATCACACTCCAGGCTATCGCTCCAGTGGAGGCCAAATGGGTCATTACTGCGAGGGTGGGGTGACATGGAGGAGGAGTTGATGTGAAGAGGAGGTGAAATTATGTGGGCAGACGTGAAGCCAAGTGATGAAAGCGTTGGCATAGAACCGAACTCAATGGAGACGTGCGTGGCTGAAGCCCTATGTTCCTCTAGGAACTAAAGGAAACAATGATAATAATCTTCTAATTACAGTGGGATATAGGGCTTCAATCTAGAACTTTGAAGGGTCGGTAGCAGTGGTTTTTATTTTTACGGGATGGGAGTGCTATCCAGCCTCATACCCAACCTTCGCCCTTTACCTGTCTTACTACTGGCTTAGCGAGGTGAAGGAGTGCGTCAGTGGCCGGAGATCAAACCCCGGACCACCTGCCTGGTAGGCGAGCACTCTACCGCTGTGTCACCGACCAAAGGCATTAGTGGCAAAAATTATTCTGGTTTCATTTATCTTCTTGACTTGACAGTTATTAAAATTCACTTTACAGATAAGATTATATTGTTTAAGGTGAGTCAATAGTTAGTATTTTGAGTGAGTTTATTGATTTGAATGATACTCTAATGCTTGTCAAACATGCTTGTAGTCAGGGTTCGACTCCTAGTCACAGCACTCGTGAACCTTGCCTTGTTTAATAACCGCTAATAAATCCGGAAAAGAGGGACGGTTGAGTTTGAGACTAGTAACTCCACCTCGTAAAAGCAATGACTCTGCTAGCGGAACTTCAGTGCCTAGCCTTGAATGTTCCACTCGGAAGACAAAGAATAAGAAAAAAAGTATCAGACAAAAAAATCGTTCACTAATTCTTGCAACTTACTGCACATAAATCAGCTGACGAGTAAGTGTATATTACGTCGTAGGCGAAATCCAGAAATTCAGTTAATATTCGTTTACACTAAAATATAACCAAATATTATGGAGACCAGTTAAGCGTTAAATGTAATATCGAAAAGGACAGTAGACAATTTAGAAACTTCCAGTAATCTATGCTAAATGGTCTTACGTTAAATCTCTTCGAATTTCAGACAGTTGACTTCATCTTCAGGCATAAACGTGATCTATGTGAAATGGTTCATTCACAAGATGCTTGTGGCACAGTGGGCACTGAAACAGAAACCAAACTACGCATTAAATATCTTGGAATAGTTCTACCCTTTGGCTTTTCTTGGTCATTCAACATATTTAACGGGTGGATGGTGACTAGCAGTGGAATCCAAGATGCACGTTTCGTCTTATTTGGGACTCATCAGCCTAGTGGATGCACCTGCATTCCCCAGTGAGTGATGATGTTACCGCCGAGGCTCGAACCCAGTGCCCATTGTTTCAAACGCCAAAGCGCTATCCACTCGGTGGGAACATCACGACTCAATGGGGAATGCAGGTATTTTCAGTTGACGAGTCCAAAATAGGACGAAATGTGCATCCTGCTCGATTCCACTACTAGTCACCATCCATAAATTAAATTCCAATCACATGCCCAGATCAACCTGAAACCAATCTAGAAATCTTCATCACTTAGCATCAACAACAAAATTCGGATTTTCAATACAAACGTCAAGTCAGTCAGTTCTTCTATACGGATCAGAAACTTGGCCAGTGTGTCACGAGGAATATTTCCAACAGCTTGTTGCAGACCTTTATCAACGGCTGTCTTCGCTCTATACTGAAGATCAGATGGCCAGAAAGAATCATCGACAAGAAACTGTGTGAACAAGCAAACAAAACAAGAACCAATCGCCCAACAAATATGCAGGAGAGAGTGGAGATGGATTGGACACTTGCTGAGGAGGCCGTCGGGTGACATCGCGCATCAGGCCCTCGAGTGGAACCCGAAAGGGAAGCGACGAGTGGGACGTCAGTGCTAGGGTGACATGGAGGAGATCGTGTGAAGAGGAGTTGGACTAATATAAATGCAAGTGAAAATTATAGCAGAAGACAGAGGCAAGCGGAGACGTATAGTTGAATCCCTATTTTCCACTAGGAACCCAAGGGAACAATAATAATATGGTAATACATGCCCAGATATCAATGAAGCATCTTCGAAAGAAGCCGACATGTCAACCTGAGACCGAGCACTTCGGTCCAATCAATCGACGGGAAAATCTAATATTCATTCCATATATTGTTGGTTCCTAAGACAATGCTCCGTCTAACCTTCCACATTAGGATGTTTAGACAATCAGGTATGATTCAACCTCTGCTTTTAAAATTTTTCAACTCTTACATCTTACCTATTATACTTTACTGCTCCCTATTAGTCTTTCCTGGGCTACACAAAAAGGACTATGTCATATTACGAAGGGTATTAATGGTTGTCATTAGAGCAGGCAAGTGGTGTCAGCTCGTCACTATTGTTGTCAGTGGACATCTGAATCATGAAAGAAATGGAGTAAATCCATATTGTCTGACTGTCAACACCCTATCTATTCACAACTCCCTCCCCACGTCACCTTGCATCTCATCAGGTGGGACTAGAAGTCACTATAAGAGATTATATACTTGTACAATTAAGTACAAAAACTCAACGATACCATATTTGACCCGTGTTCTATATGATTGGGGAAGTGTTAAGCATGAAACTTATAAATTAATATTGTAATTAGAAAAATAAAAATGGCATCTGTTTGTAATTTATAGTGACATTATTTCTAGTATTTTATGATTCTAGATAATATTATTTTCAAGAGCTGGTTTTTAAGAATTAGATTTGTTTTTACGAGTTTCACCATGGATTGATATCAGTTAGAGAACCATTGAAAACCAGCACTGGAGTACTGGAAAGCTGTTTCATCCCAGTAGTTTGGGAATCATCGGCAGTATGCACCCACCGACAGTGTTAAAACCCAGGAGCTTCCGGTTACAAGGCAAGCTCGTATACCATTCAGCCACTGGGACCCAGCAGACTCAACGGCCAGCACATGAATTCTAACTTCTACCGATTCGTGATTTAGCGCGACCACCAACCAATGTCATTGGCGAGACATTCATCTTCACACTTGACTGGATTAACCTCACTGGTCACGACTTCTCAATAGAACTTCTCCAGGAAACTCCATCCTGTTGTAAGTCACCAGTGAGCATCAGATTAATTTTCTGTATTTCTTTTTTTAAGATTAGATTTGTCTTTACGAGTTTGACCACTGATTGATATTCAGTTAGAGAACCACTGGAAACCTCCAGGAAAGAGTACCGAACAGATGTTTCATCCTAGTTTGGGAATCATCGGCAGTAAGCACCCACTGGGGTTGTTATTATTATTATTACTATCATTTTGTACTTTTTGCACATTTTTGATTATATTGTTACTGTAAACGCCAAAAAAATTGATGTTATCAATTTTGGTTACCTATACCGTGTAATCTCTTTTGTGTCGTCGAGTAAGTAGATGTAATATCGCATCAAATACTGAGAATTCCATAGTATATCTCAAGTACTGTTTCAGAATAAAGTAAATTATTATTGTAAAAACAAAATAATCGAGCAAAGAATATTCTTCTCGATAAATTCCTCTTCCAGGCTCTACAATTATATATACATATGTTTTTATACACAGAATATTTTAAAATAGTAGTCAATATCAATATTAGCGTTTTTTTAAATAATATCGATTTGTAAAGTATGATCAATGCTATTACAATTCATTAAAGATGCTTAAATTATAATAATAATAAAGTTATAACAGCAAATAGAATATCAACTAAAATTAGGGAAATTTCACAAAAATTCTGGATTATTCAAACCTGGATGGCCAAGGTAATGATAATGACTGGACTAACTTCTTTTGAGTGCATAAATTAGGCTTATTAATATGGATCCCCACAGCCTCAGCAATATTTAGAAGTCGAACTCTTAAAGCGAAATTGAGATTCATAGGTATGCGGTAAATGACCCTGAAAGCATGATTAATGTCAATCTTGTGTTCTGAATATTCTTTGCTCGATTATTTTGTTTTTATAGATGTCTGAATGAACATTTTTGCAATTATTATTGTTATTACTTTTATGAAATTCTGTATTCAAAGACGAATACTTGTTGTGTATCACTACTGAATTTTGGTTTATCAGTTAACGCCAGAGTCAATGTTGAGGCCAAGTGACAGCGGACACTGAAATCTCTAGTGACACAAATCTTCAATGATAATACAGTTTGCTCAGCCAGAACGCAAAGGACAAGCCGCCACATTGGGCCACTTCCAAGTGCATACACCATTTTCCTTGCTCTTGCAGAGCTGAGTACATCGGCCGTACCATGCGCCAACTTGAAAAATGTGTTCGTAAACACCATCCAGCCTATCTAGTAAATAGAGATCGAAAACGTGTACAGAGTTCAGTGACAGAACTTCGATAGTACTGTTGAACAAAGAGGGAACGTTAAACACCTCACGTAGGATTCTTAATAAGGCTGGGATCAAGGTGGCACTTAAACCAACCAACTAGCCAACCAACTAACTCTCTTAGTGATAAACTTCGGCCGCTTAAGGATTCAGTAGATCCGATTTAGCCCAAATGTCTTCACTTGCATGTAAACACACAATAGAGTGGGGTGGCCAAACAAAAACATGACATCAACCCATGAAATCCTTGACAGTTAAACTGAGTCAGGTAGGGAGATGCAGACTTCTGGGTTGGGGCCCGCCCTCGGGACTCTAAGAATCAATCAATGGCTGGAGACAATAGGTCACATTGCTCAAAATCGTTGTCAATGGCGCAGATGTATTCAGTCTCTTGGGTAATCTTTCATATTCCTTTCTACCATTACTCATTCTGTTTCACTCTTATACTTGTCAAAACTCTATTGATTCTCTTCACTCATTTTTTTGTCTACCTTTGTGTGCTATTTGGAACGTGGCAACTCGAACTGCTGCACTTCGGTGCCAAGTTCTATGTTGAATCCAGCCAGCCAGAGTGGGGTATGGTCAAGTGGTTAGATAGGGGCAGAGGCTAATCACTGAAGTAACATTAAATACGTGCAAACGAAACGACTCAACACCTATCCCAGATATATAATATATATAGAAAACTGCAGTGAAAAAAACACAGCAGGAAGGAGTGGAGCTATATAAAGCAAACGTCATGATTATGAGCAATAAATTGTGCTCAAGACCACATTCAATTATTAACACCGTATCTCTGTGAAGAGATACGAGATTTGATTCGTTACAGGTTTAACCATGAGTTGATATCGGTTAGAGAACCACTGGAAAACCAGCACTGGAGTAGTGAACAGTTGTTTCGTCCCAGTCTGGAGCTCTTCATCAGTCCGCATACACCCAGAAGCTCTCGGTTACAAGGTTAGCTGAGACTGGATTCAATTGTCCATAAATTACAACCTCTTCCAAACTAAGACGAAACAGCTATCCAGTACTGCCTGGTAGTTTTCCAACGATTCTCTAGCTGGTGGCAACTCGTAATCAAAACTGTAAAATATTTATGAAGTAAACTTACCTAATACAGAATTACAATGCAATAAAGTTAAGTAGTACAAAATATAACTAATTAATAATGATAATTAATAATAATAATAATGGTTCTCTTACAGGTGTATAGATATTTTTTAAATTTTGACAAGTGACTTCAATGTGTTCATGAACGAAATCTTTACTACCGAAGACGAATGTTTTAGCCGACCATAGTGCAGCCTTACAACCAAAACAAGCTGAAAATCAAAATGGAAATGGTACACCATGAGAGGAAATAAACTCTATTGATTTTGGTTGGCACTGATAAAATTAATGCTACTCTGGTACAGAAAGACAGACAGTTGAAAGAAATTCTAAGACTTACAAGGATTGGCAGGATTTTTATAATCACCAATGTTTTGTACTGCATTGCGAAGGATTTCGACTAGTGTTTGCTAAAATACATATTTTAAAGAAAGTGGGTGAATTTTTAAAAAAATGTTTTTAGTATATGAGTACAGATAAATATAACTCCATTATGGATAAGATTTTATTTTGATAAATCACACAGTGTTATACAGTAAGTAATATTAACTGATGACCACCTTTCGAGCACAAATTATTACTGCTCATAATCATATCAAGGCACTACTCACACAACTTTTTACTTCATTTATATACATGTAGGCTAAAAGACCCGGAGGACCCAATTAAACAAAATAATATAATTTACAAAATACCTTCCAATGACTGTGAGTTGAGTCAACTACACAGGTCAAACTAGTAGGTCGGGGATAATCAGATTGTCGGAACATAAGAATTTAGCTAGGGTAAAAATGGTTGACCCCGAGAAGATGAGTAATTTAGAAAAAAGCTCAGCAATTGCACTACACGGATTAACACACAACCACACAATACGGTGGGAGAGAGTTAAGATTCTAAGAAGTAATCTATGTAGGTGGAAAGCGAAAGAGGTTGATTACTGAATCCTTGTTCATCGAGTCTACACCCAACACATGCAACAGAAATGACTCAATGCAAATACCAGAAATATGGAAGATATTAATACCACCAGTCAGTCAAATCAGAGGAGGATAATAAATAATCTTAAAATTATATTTCAATTCAATTCACGTACATCATAACATTCTAACAAGTTATTTATTTTGACGGAGGTTATGAAAATAGCCAACCAACAACAACAGCAACAGCAACATCCACCGCCAATCACCATCGACGGGAGGGATTTGAAAGAGGTTACTTCATTCACTTATCTAGGGAGCATTGTCTCAACTACAGGCAGGCGGAACAGACGAGGATGTCAAATCGAGAATCGGGAAGGCGAGAAACACATTCATCAACCTGAAACCAATCTGGAAATCTTCGTCACTCAGCAACAACAACAACAACAATAACAAAATTCGGATTTTCAATACAAACGTCAAGTCAGTCAGTTCTTCTGTACGGATGGATCAGAAACTTGGCGGGTCACAAAGAATATTTCCAACAGCCTGTTGCAGACCTTTATCAACAACTGTCTTCGTTCTATACTGAAGATCAGATGGCCGGTGGAAAGAATCACCAACAAGAAACTATGGGAACAAACAAACCAAGAACCAATCGCCGCCCAACACATATGCAGGAGAGAGTGGAGATGGATTGGACACTCGTGGCTGAGGAGGCCGCTGGGTGACATCGCGTGTCAGGCCATGGCTCGAATGGAACCCGAAAGGGAAGCGGCAAGTGGGACGTCCAAGTGTGACATGGAGGAGATCGTGTGAAAAGGAGTTGAAACAGTATGGATTAACATGGATGCAGGTGAAAAGTACAGCAGAAGGGAGAAGCAAGTGAAGACGTGCAGTTGAAGCCCAATGTTCCACTAGTAACCCAAGGGAACAATAATATAAATAATAATAATTTATTTTGACTATAAAAACACTCGTCTTATTTCCCATCTGATTGTATTTGATCAGTAACACTCATATTATTATTTCTGAATGTACATTATCTTATGTTGATTGATTTTTATTCAAATGTCTAATCATCCATTCCACTCATGCATATAAATGAAGCAAGAAAGTTGTGTGAGTGAGTGACTCGATATGATTATGAGCAGTAATAATTTGTGCTCGAAATGTGGTCATCAGTTAATATTACTGTATAACACTACACTGTGTGATTTATCAAAATAAAATCTTATCCATAATGGAGTTATACTCTACCACCACAGTGCCCAAGTTTTATACTTATATCAATAATGCAGATAAATATATATTGATCTACGAAGGATTCTCTGTTGACTATTGTCATTTTTCATGTATGTATATTACAGGTGTGATCACTAACTAGCTGGTATCATTTAGAGAACCATTGAAAAACTAGCAAATACTCGACAGCTGTTTCGTCCCATTTTGGAACTCTTCAGCATTACTCATACCTTGTGGTTACAAGGCAAGCTTCTAAAGTATTTTAGCCACTGGAACCCGATCTGATTGCGCATGAGTTCCAACTTCTGTCAGTTCGTGATATATGCCGCAACCACCAGCTAATGTCACAGCCGATGAACTGTTCCCTTACTTAACTTAGTGGACACTCCACCGGTAACGATTTCTCACCAGAACTCTAGGTAACTTTCTGTATAGAGCGAGTAGCTTGACAGCGTTAGAGCGTTAATTATCAAATTTTGGTTCTCAGGGATTTCATTGCTGACATAAGACGGTGTAAAAAATACAAGTACTGGAAATCGTACTAACTGTAGCGACTTTCTAGTTATTGTCACATACTATTCACAAGGGTGCAGTATTGTTGGTTCAGTGGGTTGGAATTCACCAACTCACTGTATTTTTTAATCTTAGGAAGACTTATGTCTTCTTTACAAACTCGAACCTTCAGTGAATAGGTCAGTGAGCGACTTGATCATTGAATATATTTAGTCTTGTGTTATCTAACATGTAGTTAATATTGTACACTTTGTCAGCCATCACAGGAAGCCTTAGACTTAGGTTTCATGCTTGCTGGAATTCTTCAGCAAGGCGTATCTGAAACAGACGAAGGACTAGATGGATGACATTAGTAACTACCTAGAGCTCAATGAAAGTATCCCTTAAAGTTCTTACAAGAGGTCACTGGCAAGCCCGAATGGCTGATTGGTAACGTCTTTGACTGCAGCACTGGATGACACGGGTTAGAATCTTAGAAGGGACATGATTTCCTTCAAGGCTGCGGATGTGCTGATGGGTGCCGACAAGACGGAAACTTAGGTACAAGGCTTCACGACTTCACGTGACGCAATGTTGCAGTGAGAGACGTTACCCCTGAGTTAGTTGGACTATCTGTAACGGATTGGTCGTGATACTAGAATCTAACATGATGAGCCTTGAGTTCAAGCAAAAAAGGCTTCAATGACAAAGGTGGTTTCAATAACATGATCTGTCGCTAACTTTTACATAGCCTGACTGGCTCATTGCCTAGCCTTTAAACCAGAATATATATTTGATAGATTGACGACCTACAAAATTCTTGAATCACGTCTAAAATCCAGCTAAGTGTACATGTGACAAGGAACTATTACTACCTAAAATAATAATTGTCTTAACGACAAGAGAACTCATTAAAAATCGTTATCACTACCGTTCTACCTTTGAAATTATGAGCATTCTTTAAAAATAAAAAAAATAATGGATAGTTGAACTTACATTAAAGATTTCAATATCATTGGAAGGGTATTTGTCAAGTGAGAATGCTGATGAGACTTTTTAAGGGACGAAATTTTGAAAATGTGTACACACTTACCTAATACACTAGTTAATATGAATAAAAATCGTGTAAAGTTAAACATCATATTGTGGTGAGACATATAAATCCTTATGACTTATAACCTTTAAATTTTTATCTTTAAATTTTTAATATTTATGACAATAATATATATAATTAGTTATTATGAAGTTTGAATTGTTGTTTTTATTTCAATATGGTATTTTTTTGGTGAACTTTGTTTGCTTTAAAATGATTGTATAAATGAATGAAGTCGAATGATTTGTTGTTTGTTGTTTGAATAAAGTAACAATGTGAAATTGAGCGCGATAACACCTTATCATTCTATTTTATTGATTTCTAACAACTGTATTATTATTATTGTTCCCTTGGGTTCCTAGTGGAACATAGGGCTTCAACTGCACGTCTCCACTAGCTTCTCTCTTCTGCTGTACTTTTCACCTGCATCCATGTTAGTCCATACTGTTTCAGCTCCTCTTCACACGATCTCCTCCATGTCACCCTGGCACTGACGTCCCACTCGCCGCTTCCCTTTCGGGTTACACTCGAGCGATGGCCTGACGCGCGATGTCTCCCAGCGGCCTCCTCAGCGAGTGTCCAATCCATCTCCACTTTCTCCTGCATATTTGTTGAGCGATTGGTTCTTGTTTTGTTTGTTCCCATAGTTTCTTGTTGGTGATTCTTTCCACCGGCCATCTGATCTTCAGTATAGAACGAAGACAGTTGTTGATAAAGGTCTGCAACAGGCTGTTGGAAATATTCTTTGTGACCCGCCAAGTTTCTGATCCATCCGTATAGAAGAACTGACTGACTTGACGTTTGTATTGAAAATCCGAATTTTGTTGTTGTTGTTGTTGTTGTTGCTGAGTGACGAAGATTTCCAGATTGGTTTCAGGTTGATGAATGTGTTTCTCGCCTTCCCGATTCTCGATTTGACATGCTCGTCCGTTCCTCCTGTAGTTGAGACAATGCTCCCTAGATAAGTGAATGAAGTAACCTCTTTCAAATCCCTCCTGTTGATGGTGATTGGCAGTGGATGTTGCTGCTGTTGTTGTTGTTGGTTGGTTATTTTCATAATCTCCGTCTTGTCTATGTTCACCTGGAGTCCTGTCTTCTCCAGCTGCTTCTTCGAACAGTTTGTCGGTTTTCGCTTGTAAGTCTTCGATTTTGTGTGACATCAAACATGAATAATCCACGCGCGAAATCCAGGTCTTCTAGGTTCTTCACGTCGGTCAGGACAGGATATCCCTGTCTTCTCGTTTCCATGCACTGTCTGACGCATAATCCAGTCCACCACAATTAGGAATATCATTGGTGATAATAAGCACCCTTGTCTGACTCCTGTGTTTACTCCAAACGCCTCACTGAATTTTCCGTTGTGGATCACTTGACATGTGCCGTTGTCGTACAGCTGTTGAATAAGGTTGATGAATATTTGGGGTATGCCGTAGTACTTGAGTAGTTTCCAAATTACTTCGCGGTCAATCCGCTGTCGAAGGCCTTCTCAAAGTCTATAAAGTTGAGGTAGAGGTTTGATTGCCATTCTATGCTTTGTTCGATGATGCGTAGAGTTGCAATTTGGTCAGAAAATGATTTTCCTCTCCTGAATCCAGCTTTTTCTGGTCGGAGTTCTGCATCCGGTGCATCCTTTATTCTCTCCAGGATGATGCGACTCAGGATTTTACTTGGCGCCGACAGGAGCATGATTCCTCGCCAGTTCTTGCCGAGTCCTAGGTCGCCCTTCTTTGTATACAAATCGAAACAGCAAGTTGGTTGTGCAGGGATAAATACTCGTCGATAACACTGACTGACGACGGTGATATACATCAAGAATTGATGGAAGGTAGAATTCAAGGGTCATTGAACTCCAGCCCCGTGGGTAAACATAGTCAAGAGGATTGTTACACAACCTAGGAGGGGATAGGGCTCTTGGTTAGACTCCTGCTTCTGTCATGGATGCCTACTACTGAAGATCTCCAAACTAGAACGAAACTGCTGACCAACAGGAATGTAGATAAAATATCAGGCAAGTGCGCTAGTCATCTGATGCGTTTGCAAAGGAGATATTTTTCAGGTTTGTCAATCTCCTGCTACACCGAAAAGCTATACTGCCAATTCTGCAATAAAAGCAGAAATTTTGAATCTGATCAAGCAGCAGGACCCGACGGAATTCCTCCAAAAGCACTGAAGACGGCCACGGAGATTACCAACTCGCCGATTCCCTTTCGGGTCCAATCGAGCGATGGCTTGTCTAGTGATGTCACTTGATGGTTTCCTCAGAGTATGACCATAATTCATCTCCATTTCTTCCTGCCTATTTGTTTCACAATCGGTTCCTGCAGTGTTGGTCCGCTCTTTGCCAGAGATCCCTCTTGCTGATGTTTTCTGACCAGCCATCTGATCTTGAGTATTGAGCGAAGACAACTGTTAATGAAGGTCTGTAGTTTGTTTGATGTGCTCTTTATGACGCGCAGTGCAAGTCTCTGCTCCGTATAGTAGGTAGCACTGGCTTCAAATTGGAGTTGAAAATCCGGATCTTATTTTTGATGCTGAGTGCTGTTGACCTCCACACAGACTTGAGTGTAATGAAAGCTTGTCTTGCTTTCCCGATCCTCGCTACTTCGATATTCTCGTCAGTTCCGCTGGCCTGTAGTTAAAACGATGCTTGCCATGTAGGTAGGTGAAAGAGGTTGTTTCTTTCAGGTTCCTCCCATTTATACTGATCGTTGTCTGTTGTTGTTGCTGCTGTTGGTGGTGTTTCCCAGGAATCTTCATCACCTCTGTCTTCTCTAAGTTCACCTGAAGTCCTATCTTTGATGCTTCTTCTGCCGACTTGTTGCTTTTCACTTGCATGTCTTCCAGTTTGTGGGAAATCAGACGTATATATGTTATTGGCGAAGTCCAGATCCTCCACGTTTTTTGTGTGAGACAATTTTATGCCTGTTTCCTCATTGCTCGCTCTTTGTCGCATTATCCAGTCTACTGCAATCAGGAAAATCACTGGAGATAGTAGGCAGCCAGCCAGCCTTGTCTTACTCCTGTCCTCACTTCGAAGGATTCCGTAAGTTTCCCGTTGTGGATTATTTGGCATGCAGCATTGTCGTACATCAGTTGGATGAGATGTATAATTGTCGGTGGCACCCCGTAGTGGCGAAGTAGTTTCTAAATCACCTCTCGATCGACGCTGTCAAAGGCCTTTTCAAAGTCGATGAAGTTGAGATAGAGAGGTGACTGCCACTCCAAGCTTTGTTCAATACTGATCCGTAATGTGGCGATCTGATCAATGCATGACTTGTTTCTGCTGAATTCAGCCTGTTCCGGTCGAAGTTTTTCATCCAGAGTGGCGTATTTGATTCTCTCCAGGATGATGCGAACAATATAATAATATAATATAATAAATGGTAATCCGTCTCCTATTTTATAGCAGACAATTTTGACTAAGTGCTAATAAAGTCAAGAAAAAGCATACCACGTTTCCATTTCTTGAGTTCCTAGTGGAGCAAAAGGCTTCCGGCCTCGAAGTTTCCTTAGTGGTAGTTCTGCTTTTATGGAGTAGAACTGTTAATCTCACGCCTAAGCTTCCTTCTTTTCTAAGCTTACTGCCGCATAGGCTAAGCTGAGAAATGAACCCGGACCTTCCACGTGGTTGGAGAGCATTCTACGATGTGGACCACTGACACAGTGTCAGTTCTTGGCTCTAGGCCTCGTTAAGATTAGAACTCATGACTCTGGATTGAGAGTTCAAAGTGCTGACGGCTTCACTGCTTAGTCTAAACATACCAATTAATAACACAAAGCTGTTAAGTGAACTGTGACTGCCTGTTGTTTATTAATCTTACTATTATCGGCCGTATGATAAGAAGTCGCTTTTAAAATTTTCGAAAGAAAGGATACTGAACAAAGAGTACTCTTTTCGATAAATTCATCATCAGGCTCTACAATTATGTATACATTATAGTGAATGAATGAATTAGTCTTATGAACAACATTAATGCTGTTTAAATAACATCGAATCAATAATATTGATAAATTACAGCTGAACAGCATCAACATAAAATAAGCGAGAGAAGAAGCGTCGGTGGTATAGCGTTAGGACGCTCGCCGACCATGCACATGGTCCGGGGTTCGATCCCCGGCCGACGCACTCCTTTACCTCACTAAACCAAAAATAATGCTGGTGAAGAGGAAAGGTTGGGCATGAGGCTGGCAACCCCATCCTGTAAAATAATAAACGCTGCTACAGAAACTTCAAGCCACTAGCTTGAAGCCCTATGTTCCACTGGGAACGTGAAGGAAAAAAAAAACAGCTGAATAGCATCAGCATAAAATAAGCTGAATGTCAGAAGAATTAGGAGAGATAATATTACAAATTCATGAGTTTATAGTTTCTACTGAGGGCAAGCCAGGGCAATAGTAGGGGCTGGACTTGTTTCTTTTGAACACAGAGCACTGGTTGTTTGAGGCGAATTGCAATAGCCTCTGCTGTTTGGAGCATGCGGTGCTTCGATGATTTTGGTAATTTGTTAGGCACCCGGTGTATTATAGAGAAGGATTCTTCTACGCTGGCTTTGTGACCGGTTTGCACCAGATGGTCTAATATCGAGCTGTTAATAGTTTTAACTACACCTTTACTTAGCCATAGTGAGAGATGCTCCCGAGCACGAAAAATCAAGTTCCTAGAGCAACGGCCAATATAATTCGCTCCACAAGCGCAGTTGAATTGATAGATACAATTTGAAGTGGCTAGCCTAGGTACTTCATCTTTCAGTCGAGGTAGCACCATCTATTGTGTAGAGAATAATACATGTAGTTCGCCAGCATTAAAAGTTCTTTGAACTGATTTTCTCAATTTCTTCGTAATTATCTCGCTAGGTATATCGTCCATGAATTGTAGTCGTATATATAAAGGCTCCTTGTTCATAGACACTGAGTAGCCTTTTTCCGCTTTATTTGTCATGTGTTTCTTGATAAATTTGTTGGGATAGCCATTTCCGATCAAAGTATCATATACAATGCTTAATTCATCTTCAATTACTTCTTCTGAGCATATAGCTCTAACTCTGTGGCTGAGGGTCCTCACTA